CGAAAAAATATTTAGTTAAAATATAAATTATTCAACATAGTTTGTTATCTTGATTTCGAATATTATGTTTATTTCGCACAAAAATCGACTTTTGATAGTACAAATTGGTTAAGTTTTCTTAATGCAACACTATTTTGGGTGTCATTTACTCATCTTGAAAAGCTCCAAAATAGTGTATTTTGTAGTGCTTCATCGTGGACACTTTCTGATAAAGTTTGGCGTTTGATCACATCTTCTATTTTTTTTTTTACACTATTGAAGACATGAAGACTGATCATTAACAAAAAGCATTGATAAATCAGTAAAAATTTGCATCCTTGCCTATCGAAGATGGTAGGTGTATGAGTTTGTAGCCCATGAAAAAAAACTGTATAGAAGAAGAATTTTTTACAAATAATTTAGACTAATACCAAGGAACACAATAATCAGTAACTTGTCATCATCTGAATGCATAGTTGTCTATGAGAAACTTGAGTCTAGTTTCTTCAAGATCTGGTGAAATAAGATTTAATATATACCACTTGAAAATACTTGACTTGTCCTGCAACACGATGTATTCAGTTTCTCAATGCTGAATAGGTCATCTAATCCGGCAGGATCCTTTCATCATTTTTGTTTTTCAAATTTTTAAACAAACCTCATAAATACGTGCAATAGCTTGAATTAAACATGGTTCATAAGGAAATTTTTCTAAACCTTCTTTTAGTTTACTTATTGATAATAATGGTTGATCAAGACGAAGATATACTCTAGCTAAATATAAATATGTATCAACCATAGGCTGAATTTCTAATGAAAGAAGATATTGTTTTTCACTATCACGAAGCATATCCAAACTGGAAACAAAAAAAAAAAGAAACGTTCAAATATAAAGAAAACCAAATATATTTATATGTACCGATGATAACATTTACCAAGTTGTACTAACCACCACCAATCTTTATTTTGATATAAATCATTAGCATTTGTAGCTAACTGAAGAGCCTTTATAGGAAAAAAAGAGAATCAATGATTTTTCTTATTGTTTTTTTTTTTCGTTAACTTGCATACCGTTCGAACATCATTTGCATGATGAAATAAATGTTCAAATAGAGATACTGCTAAGGCTTGATTTTGTGCATATTTAGGTAAATTAAGTCGACCTACTTGAATAAATGGACCATCAGGTGTACTTAACATTGAAGCCTAGAAAATAATATAATGCTTAAAAATCTTTTCAAGATATCAAACAGATTCACTCAATATTCAAAAAATACACTACTAAGAAATTTGATATTAATTCAACAACATCGAATGATTGAACATGAGAGAATCTTCAAATAATTTTTACTCCGATATTTCTATTTTTTTTTGTTTTAGTTAAGAAAAAGTTAAAATATTTTGATAATGACTTACGGTTCCAAGGCGTACAAAACGACCGGTAGCTGTTGTTACTGGTCTTGCTGTAGCTGCTGTACGAGCAGTTTTTAATATACTTTCCATATTTTTCCCACCTTGTGTTGATTGAGTATTTAATCGAAGCATACCAGTTATTGGTCGACCTGACATAGTCATCGGTCTCATTGCTGGACTTGGTCCACTCATTGAAGCATTTGGATTAGCTGTTGGTTGTCGAAATGATGTGCCAGGCATAGGTGCTTGTTGAAAAGCATTTTCATCTAACATGTCAGCAATACCATCATCAGCAGCTTCAGTTTCATCAACATAAAGTTGCTCGGTTAAAGCACGCATTTTAAGTAACCATGCAACCTATAATTGAACATAATAATATATTCAATAATGATTTTACCTGGATTCTTATTAATGGACAAGAAAAAACTGCCTATCAAATTTTTTTTTTTTAATATTGTAAAAATCTTACTTGATCATTTGGATTCTTGTCTAATAGAGTTGTTGTTACTTCAACACATTGATCAAATTTTCGACGACGAAAATAACTTATCGCTTGAAATAATGGATCAATTTCTGGCATAATTTTATTTTTTTTTTTGTCAATAATCTATCTTAATTCTAATGATTTGTACAATACATCAGTCAACGAAATTCTTCTTTCGTTGCCTAGGCAGATATATATGTGGCGACACTCATTCGATAGTAAAATACAAACAAAATTGAATTCAAATTAATAGCATATGAAAATATATATTATATAAAAATTTATATCATAAAAAATAAAATAAAAATGTCATAAATTAATATAAGAATACTTAAATGGTTTGTGTTGATGTTGATGATGTGGTCTTGATTCTGATTGGTTAATATATTAAATTTATTTTTCATGTATATGTATTTTGAAAATACAATCATTCAAGCATATATCTAATAACTCTTTCATATTTATAATAATGTTACCTTTATCATCACATATTTTATTTATTTGTATAATATTAATACTCAAAAAAATTGATGCTAATGAATTAACATTTGAATTACCTGATAATGCTAAAGAATGTTTTCATGATAACCTTAAAGCTGGTTCAAAATTTGTATTAGAATATCAAGTTTGTTAGCAAAATTTCATAGTTTTATTCCTTTTTTTTTTTAAAATAAATATTTATGATTTTTTTTAAAGGTTGTAACAGGTGGTAATTATGATGTTGATTTAGAATTAAAAAGTCCATCGGGTAAAATTTTATATCAAGAAACAAAAAAACAATATGATCAAATTGAAAAAAAAGTTGAAGAAGATGGTGTTTATCAATTTTGTTTTAGCAATGAATTTTCAACATTTAGTCATAAAATTATTTACATAGGTTTGTATAAAAATAAATAATTTACTAAAAGAAATTTCCTTTTTTTTTCAATAGATTGGAAAGTTGATGGAGATCCTGAACATGAAATAACACATCCAGGTCCACGTGTTGCTGAAGGTGCATTAACAATGGTATAAATTTATTTAGTGTTTCTTTTTTGTTTTAAGAAATAAAATCTATTAAAAATTTTTCTAGATTGAATTAAAAATAGGTAAACTACATGAAAATCTTGAAACATCTATTGATTATCAAACACATCATCGTTTACGTGAAGCAACAGGACGTGCACGCGCTGAAGATTTACAAGAACGAGTACAGATATGGTCATTAGGACAATTTGTTTTAATTATAATTGTAGCTATTGGTACTGTTCTATTACTTCGTTCATTTTTCACTGATCGAAGAACATCATCAAATACCACATGGAATCGATAATTAATTTAATTTCTATAAAAGAAAAAAAGAAATAATGATTATTTTCTTCATAAGCAAATCATTCTGTTTAATTCTATTGTTGTTATTAGTTTTTATTTCTCACTTCTCATTTTAATGTATAGTCCAATTTATTTCTCACAAGGTGTATTCTATCGTCTTTTTTTTTTTATTAAATTCTTTCTCATCTTTTGGAACAACTACATGATCTAGGGAAAAAAGAAGAACATTTTTCTTTGTCCTGTTAAATTTTGCTTCTCTTTTTCATTCTTTTTCTTTGCCTCATTGTTGTTATTATTATAAACGTTGTATAAGAATAAAACAAAAAAATCAATGTTTTTCGATTGATACCTTGACATATTAGGACATTGAGCACTTTTTATTATTTAATATACAAGACACCTTCCTCTTCTCTCTTTCCTTTATGGATCTGTATCTGACACTCGACGCGAATTTTGTCTTTCCTGTTCTGTTCTATTTAAATTGTTACATTTTTTTTTCTTTTTTATCGAGCGGAAGAGAACGGCTCAACATTTTTCTGCGTAATTATGTTAAACGACACACGAACACTGTGTGCATATACTACAAACGTACAAGCAATAACAACACAAAAAATAAAGGAGACCAGTTTTCACACACGTTCTTTTTTTTCTACTATTTGATGATAGCTATACGTAGGTTGAGTAAAATAGGACAACCAAATCGATGTGATGAGGCTAAAGATAAAAGGAAAAAACGCTAATAGCTTGATTTTTTGTATATATGACATAAACGATTATTTTACGTATATGGCTAATAGAAACTATAACATTATTCAATGATCAAGACAATAGTGAAAGTAAATATCTGGTAGGTTAGTTTGTTTTCTTTGATTATCTAGTTATTCCCGTTCAAGGTTATATATTCTTATTTGATCAGTTGAACAAGAAAATACAAGATGTTTAAATATTTATTAAATTGTAGAGGATCAAAAAAATAAAAAAGAATAAAATAAGAAAGAATTTAATGTAGAGCATTTTTTCTTTGTTATATTCACGTTCATCATTTTATCCACATAGTCTGTTGAACAAAATAAGAAAAGATGTTTTGTCTCATATTACATGAATAAGAATTTCTTCCTATTCGATGTCAAGCTCTTTCTTTATAACAAATATTGGTTTTCGTTTTCATTTTAAAATTTTCGTTTTCTTTTTTTTTTCTTTTTGATAGTTTTTTATTCTAAACAAATTCGTAGGATTGTGCATGTGTATGATGGCCAACCACAATGTTGATTCTTTCTTTCAATCGAATCCTTATAGAAAAAAAAAGTTAAAAAAAAAACGAATAATAACGATAGAAAAGCAAAGGAGAAGAAAAGGAAACTTCATCAGACAAATCTGCCGTGCTTGCTTTTACATAGTTCTCTTTCGTCATCATCTTTACTGCACTTTCTTCACTTTGCTAATAGTAGACGATGCATACATCGCCCGAGCGAGACAGAAAAAAAGCGAGAAGAAAAAAATACTGTTCTGACTGATGTGCTACTACGTTAGCTATATTATTCCTTCATTTAATTTTGCACTCACGTTTGCTTATTTATTCGCCTTTTTCTTTCCTATTTCTATAAGTATTTCTAACATGATATATATTCTCATCAAATACTTAGCATCATTATACTAGACTAGATATAATGACATTCAATAACAAGTAAGGTTAACATGTTAATAAAATCAACAAGTTTTCTATTATTATTTGTTGATACAGTTGCATATTAGAGGAAAATATCTTTGTACTATATATGTATATGTATTGCTTGGATTTTTCTACAGATAGACAATGCACGGAACTCTGATTGATTCTCATCATCGACTATCATTAAGCAGTAATGGACCAGGTGTATTATCATCATCTGAACATACACTGACTGACGATGAACAAATAAATAAATTATCCAATATAGATCATTTACTTGATTCATCATCAACAATACATTTAAATAAAGCTACTGGATATCTTGGTGATGTCATTGAAACTAATGATGAAAAACAAGCTGAAGCAACCGCAACACATTCGGCCAATTTTTTCCGTTGGACACCTGGTTATAGACATGTTATGTTAACATTTTGTACAATATGTCTTTTTGCTTTTATGACCGGTGTTGAATATGCTGTCATTCTTCCAACAGTATATGATTATGTTAGAAAAATGACAAATGCTAATATTTATGTTGGTTTAATTCTTTCATCATATAGCATATCCGGTTCTTTCACTGGAATAATTATGGGGAAAATTTCTGATATGACTGGAAAAGTTAAATTTCTTATAATGATATCCACTATATTTGAAATAGGTGGAAATATACTTTATTTTGTTGCTAATAATATTCATATTGTTCTATTGGGACGATTAATTGCTGGTGTTGGAATGGGTGCTGTACCACCTGTAAGCTATTAAAATATGTCTACGAAGTAGTCTATTGATTAAATATATAAAACTAGATTCTTGCCGATGTTGCTCATCGTACAACAGACAGGGAACGAACAAAAGCCATTTCAATTATTCTTGGATGTCGACAACTTGGTATGAAAATATGCTATTGTCTTCTTTTTATTGTTTTCCTATACTACCATCATGTTTTATAATGATTCTATTTTGTTCGGAAATCTATCTAGATGATAATTTTATTATCATAAAAATTAGTTTTTAATTTCGAATGCTTTCGTTTTTTTCTAGGTTTATTAATTGGTCCATGTTTTACACTTCTTGTTCGTTTAATGAATTTTCGAATAGGTTAAATTTTATATTTATTTTTGATTTAAAATATAAATCTTTATTAGGTTCTGTTCATGTTTATAATTTAAATGGTCCTGGTTTTTTAATGGCTACAGTTTGGTTAGTTTTGGTAATAGTTTGTTGGTTTTGTTTCTATGATCGAACATCATCAACACATTTAACAGATGATTCACATAAGCATCCATATACAAATTCCGATCATCGCATACGACAAGACGAACAATGTGTATCATTAAAACGATATACAGATCAATATATACGTATTGAAATGTTTGTTTTATTTCTTGCTACATTTATAACTTATTTTAATCAAACAGCATTAGAAACAATAGTAGCAGCATTTACAGAAAAAAATTTTTATTGGACAACTGTACATACATCAATTTTATTTGCATTTGCTGGTTTAGAAATCCTTATTGTTTATATATCTCTTGTAAAATTTTTTTCCAAACATTTTGAAGATCAAATATTACTTATATTTGGTTTTATATCATTAATATTAGCTTGTATACTTGGAACATTTTTTACAATCGCATCAAATTCATTTGGTTGGTTTAGCCCTTCAAGTACAAATGCTGTGAATAAACCTTTACTTTCACTATTTATTGTTTTTGTTATTCTTGATTTACTTGCTTTACCATTTATAGCAGCTACTAGTGTATCACTTTTTACGAAATTAACAATTAAAGAATTACAAGGATTTTCACAAGGTTTACAAAGATTTATTATGGGAACTGGAACAATTGGTGAGATAGTTGATTTTAAGACAGAGAGGAACTTGTATTTTTAAGTCAAAGAGTTTGTACATAGAAAAAAAGTATTGCCATATATTTTTACGATGCAATTAGATGAAAACAGAAAAATTCTTTTTTATTTGCTTAATGAAAAAAAAACTCATTTATGAGAATTATTTCGCATCAAAATTTACGAAATTCGTATTTACTTTTTGTTGAAGCAAGATAATTAGAAAGATTTATTTCTGCATTTATGTTCTTTGATATTTTTTTATCTCTATAGTTGGTCCATTATTTGCTTCATTACTTCTCAATCGTCTTCATATAATGATGGCAACAATGCTTACTCTAACATCATTAACTCTAATAGCAATATTAATTTTTGTCCAACGTTTACGTCCACCATCACAAGAAAATCTATCAAAGGAAATAAAGGATGTGCATAATAATAGCGATCATAATCAGAGTTCATCTGTTGAACATGATAACGATGAACAACGATCAGCATTATCAACAAAAAATTGTTATGTTACACTTGTTCCACAAGATGATGATCGTTTACTTGATAATACGTGCAAGCGTAATTCATTGATAAAAAACTTATCTTATGATAATAAATCAAATATTGATACACAACGTTAATCTCTAGTATATACGGTACAAGTTCGACATCGGATTTTTGTCAGTCAGATGAACAAAATCGAACATTAAATAATCATGATGATACAAACAAAATGAAGATTTTCGTATTTTATTTTTGTCTCTAGTCACTATAAAATGCAAATGGATATTTTTGTTTTCTTTCGATCGTAATTTTTTCTTTTTCTTTTTCTTTTCGTTTTCATATTAGTGACTCGTAACTTTGATCAAACATAATAATATTCATTTGTTAATCATATGATTTATTTACATACCCAACGGCGGTGTTAACATAAATCAAAAACAAATAAACTTTAATCATTATAACTTATTGCGCACTTTTATTTTATATGTACGCTATAGGTTTTATTTTTCATTGTAAACTTAGTTGCGATTCTCTTATTTGTATAGAACAGGTTCTTTTATAAATAAAGAACTTGAGATGGAAGTTATTAAAGGAAATATAAATAAATGTTAAGGAATTGACTAATCATGAATTATCATGATTTTCTTTTGACGTTTTCAATTAGGTTCTATTATTTCTAGCGGTGGCATCAGGATTTTTGGTCAGAAGGCGGAAGACTGAGCGTTTCTGTGAGATCATTTTTGATAACAACTTTCAAAAATTTCTGAAGGTGCTCAACTTCCTATGGCGCCGCCATTCCTTGTTTCAATCAGAAATGTCTGTGGTGGTGCCGTTGCTACTGCGCCGTGACCGTGACAGTCTCAACAGCATGAAAAGTGTTTCGATAATAGTATTACGATAGCGACAGCTTCTCTAATAGGAAGATTGTAAAATTGCATGGATTTGTATCCGATTTGAGTATCTACAGATCCAACAGTTCGAATCATGATGAATCTGACCAATTCAATCTAATTGTGCTAGATTAGCATATTGAGAGAAAGGATTTTCAAAGAGTCTCTCGAAAGTCATCACGGTAGTGGCAGATTTTCAAGTGTGATGGATATCTCAGGATTCAATATATTATTATTTAAGGGATGTCGAAAAACACGTTCTATAATTGAAATTTTATTAATAACTTGATAGTCGGTTTTATTTGTTTTTAAATAGAATTTCGTTAATACGTTTCATTTTTTTTTCTTTGAAAAATGATATGAGATATTAGAGAAGTCTTAGTAAAGCACACTTTCGATTTCTATTATAGATTTTCACATACGTCATAAGAAAATATTTTGAAATATACTAATTGACAACATATGCAAAGGGTATTATTAATACGCAATCAAAAATTTGCAAAAGTTTCGACAAACAATTACATGATCTTATTAAATCTGTGACTATGATTAACTCAGTCGCTCTATGAAATAGGATCTCAAAGCAGTGTTGAAGTATTTGGATCAAAATTTTCCGCATCTTCTTTCCCCAAGACTGTATATCAATAACGCTTCGTTATGATATATGAACTACTTCCTTATAACATTTCTGGAGGACAAACTAAAAGAGATGGTGAAGAAATGTGTCCCAAAATAGATACAATAAAACAATCTCCCTGTAATTAGCCAGAACAGTTACATGGTGTTTCACATTTGAATCCTGCAGGGAATACACTAACAGCTTTATGATCTAGTACTGTAAAAAACAGCCGGAAATATCATCATTAAAGATCAGAGTGATCTTGTGCTTAATGATATCGAGTACATTAAATTAAATTGATATATTATTAAGGACAACTGCTGCTTTTGATTTATTGTTACAACTTGAAAGTCATCTAACATGAATTTTTTTAATATAATTAATAATCATGAATTTAAGAGATACTACTATGATTTATTAACAGCTATGGTTTAAATGAAAATCATTTTTCTTATTTGAATTGATAAAAGATTCATGCTAGGATAATACTTCAAGCTTGCATATAGAGTTCTGAAACTTGATCCTACTAGCGAATTAGTGTAGGTTGAAGTTTGAACAGTATCAGGTTCATTTTTTCTAACATAATCTATTGCTCTCCATGTTCTTTCTCGCTGCTAATGTGAAAATTAATATGTCATACAACTATCGATTCATATTATCTATAAATACAATAGCGATCATTCAAACAAATATGAAACGATTACAAAACTTCTCATTCTATTGTAAAATACAGACAAATCCATTAGAATCCAAATAGATCATTGTACTTTCATTCTTCAAATTAACAGTTAAATTCTACAGGATATTGTCTCACATAATAATAATCAGAAATGGCAACACTGTTGTTCGATATTTCTCAGCATTGTTAAACGATAACAATCGATACAATAGTAATGGGATAAGCGTTAATTCCTTTACTGTTCTGATAGTCATGTTTTGGGAGAAATATAATAAATAGTTTTTATTGCAATACGATCTATTACAAGAATGTAAGCATTAGCAACTGTTTTTACGTTCTATTTTGGTTTTTAAAACTTACCTATCAATATAACACAGAACTACAATAGCCAATTTCTAAAGAGCGCGTAGACATAACTTATTTTCTGTTAAGAGTTTTTTTTTTTTTCATAGAAATATTAATTTTCAGTACTCAACAAAAAAGATTGATGAGAGAAAAGTGACATTTGTAAAAGAATACTTTAGATGAAAAAACGCATTACGGGTCCCCTGTTACCCTCAGCTTTTATTGAAAAAATTTTTTATTTTAAAAGTTTACAAATGTCACATCATTTGATACAATATTTTCCGTGCGAACTCCAAATATGTGTCTATTGTTCTCTTAAAGTACTTCTGAGACAAAACGATGCGGAAAATCTTTAAACACGAAGGTTTTTTTTTAGAAAATCTGTATCTCAGTCCAATAGTGTGGACGCATCTGTGTGTTAACTGACTAGACGTATCAGACAAAGAAGAATTTTCTGTAAAAATTTTATCAAGTTTATAACTTTGCTAAAGACTGCGCACTGACTACATTGAACACATCGTTTTTAGAAAACTCATGTTGAGAGAGCATACACACTTTTTTCAACAGGAAAACTGCTAGAAACAAATTTTTCATATAGAACAATAGCACAAGTGCTCTACGATTTATTTTGTAGACCTTTCCAAGATGAAAGAAATCTGCCCTTTTTTTCGGGTTAGGGTTTTCTCAAATTCTAAAGAGCTAGAATAAATTTTTTTTAATCAAATGGTCGGTCATTGGTCACAGTATATTTGAGACCTCGACAAGTGTCCAGATAGAATTCGTTTTATTTCCTTAGCCTCATAATCTCGTTTCGTTCGCATCTTTCGGATACCAGTATATTCGACATGATTGAAGTTAGAAAAAAAAATATTATTTTCATGTTTTCGTCAAATATTCATATTGTTGTTGTCCACTGTGTAGAGGTCAATGATCGGAATTATCACTTTTAAATTATGTGCTAGTGATTCAAATTTTTGAGAATTTTTATATCAACATAGTTTGCTAGTAAATTTGAAACTCTGACACCTGATATTTTACAAGTGCATAATACTATACTGATTCAATAATCTATACTACAACTTTTGAAGGATTCACTGTGACCGTATTCAAGAATCGTTAATTCTGACAATAATTCGTACATTTATAAGACTTTCAGTTTTTATTGAATACCCATAAATCGAAGAAAATAGTTAGTCTAGCATAAGTAAACAAATAAGATTTTTGAGTTCGAACAGAACTCAAATTGAGTCTGAAGTTTACTTTCTATTCACACAAAAATAGGTATGAACATAATTGGAAGACAGAAATTTTATATTTTAGTTAAAAGATTAATCATTTGGAAAATAAATTTGCTCGAAAATTGTTACAATGATCCCAGAAAAAAATATTTCAAACTATATTTAGTTTTTTCTTATTCATATCGCTATAACAAGATTACATCGATTATAATATTTATTTATTAATAATAATCACACACATTAGTTAGTACAAAACAAAAATTTCGTATAATTGGATTATATAAAGTTAAAAAAAAGATTAAGCAAATATATAGCAAACAGTCAAATCAAACGAAATTAAATATAAAATTTCTCCAAAAAAAAAAATAAGTGTCAATCAGTTTGACAAAATATTATTTTATTTTCAATTCGAATAATTAACTGTTGGATATATTATGTGTAAAGAAAAACACCGCGCACTATTTATTTCTTTTTTTTTTAATTTTACTGCTCCAACAAAATTTATAATTAAGTTGTATCAGTAAAACATAAATTTATTTTTTTCAAACAAAAATAAACTAATCCAATACAATTTATTGGTATGGTAGTAATTTAATTTGTTTGAAAATTGTTTTACATCGAAAATTTTGATTCTTTTTTCTTTCTCATTCTTTTAATACATGCTAATTTTAAACTTGAATGCTAATTAGTATTCATTCAAAAATGCATACGATTTATCTATGAATCATTTAATATTCAATTATCTATTGAGTATTGAATGATTATTTGATATTCTCTATTGGGATTTTTGAATAAATAATAGTAAAAGAATGAGTTTTGTTTAGGAAAAAAAATCAATCATTTCTTAAAGCACGCTTTTCATAATATTGTTTTATGGCTTCAATACCTTCCAGAATAATTATCAGAGGATCTTGATCATTCATATTATTATCATGATTATTAAATGCTAATGATGTTGGTGAAGTTGTCTGAAGAGCAAATTCTTTATTGTCTGTTGATTGCATCGATGATGATATATGTCCAGTAGCTTGTTGATGTTGATTCAAACTTTCAAGTTTAGAAAAATATCTATTACATTGATTGCATTTAAAATCATGAACATAATGTTTTTTATCTTTTTGATGTTGAATTTGACTTGTTAATGAAAAAAAAATTTCATTACAAACAGGACAATTGAATAAATGATTTTTCGTATTTTGATGTTGTTGTAAATTTTGAACGGATTCAAATTCACTTGGACATTTTGGACATTTTTGTTTTTTTATATCTTGATTATTAACAATTGGTACTTGTCTATTAGATGAACCTGGTGATGGATCTCTGCGACGTAAACTATTAGAACTACTTGTATGACGTATTCGATTTGGCCGTTCAATTCTAGTCGGATCTAACTGATTTGGTATCTTTACTGATTGTTGCTGTTTTTGTTGTTGTTGTTGTTGTTGTTGAGTAAATAATTCCCATGGATAATGAGCATTTACAGTTGCTTTTAATTCTTCTTTAGCTGGTTTATTGTGTATAACAATAACATGAAATCCAACTTGATGACGAAGATCACTTAATTTTCCAACAAAATCAATATCACCAGAAATCAAGACGACAGTAGCAGGTGGACGATGAACACGTTCAAAACGATCTAATTCTAGCATGATTTGTCGATCGACTGCACCTGGTTTTCGATCAGGTACATGAATAATACGAACAGTTGCATGATGTAAACTTTGTTGATTGTCTTGAGATATTGTATTAGTATTACAAAAACAAGAAAAAGCAGCTTCTTGTAAACCAGATTCAACAACTAGTTTTTTTCGAACACGTTGAACAATATCAAAAGGCTTTTGTCCTTTAGGTATAGGAACATTTTCGTAATCCCAAAAGAAACTTATAAAACCTTCTTGTCGTGTTATTGGTAATACTTGTGGTTGCGGTTGCGGTTGACAAGATTGAGTCAGTAGTGTCTCTGGTATTTGTGATTGGTTCTTTTTAACTGCTTGAAATGTTATTGCACCATGTCGATAAGGACATGTAATATTACGACATGTTTTTGGCCATTTTGTACAATTCTTTGTTTGTTGAACAGCTTCACGACAATGACGATAATGACAATTATCGTTTAAATTGCAATGGCCATTTATAAAATACATGCAATCAATTAGATAATTCAAATCAGATTCTGAATTACTATCCATTGCTCGAGCCATGTTCAATAAAAATCTAAAAAAAAAGAAGAAAAGTTTTAATTAAATAGAACTTGTTTTTGCCGATCTCCTTTTTGTTTTTGAGTTGTGCCATGGTAACATATATAGTATTAAAATGTGCTGTTATGAGCTAAATCAATGCGCATGACAATATTGTTCGCTTCTATCAGCTCGACAGTCGGTTGTAGCATTGGTAAGAACGGCAAAAATAGAAAAATAAAAAACTAAATGTTGCGAGAAGCAGACAAAAAAACGAAGGAAGAAAAAAACACGATTATCTTTGATAATGCAGAGTAGGTAAATAAAGCAGAATGTAAAACGTGCGGCGTAAGATCAACATTTTTTTTCACAGTGCTTTGACAAATATTTAACATTATATTTAGATATTTTATGTTTATCACCCAGGTTATACTATCGTCGATATGTCTCGATACTGATAAAAGACCAACAATAGATTACTAGTCAGAGAACAACTATCGGTATACAGCGGTACAATGGAGATCAAAGGATATATATATATATAACCGTTTATATTCAGTTGGAATCTCATGAATATGCAATATGAATTTGTTAAGTGCAGATATAGAATTCTGTAGAAACATTCGAATTAAATAAAAAATAATAATAATTTTCGCATAAAGACCGGATTATTTTCTTATATCAACTATGCAATGATGATAAATTTAAATATTTGAAAATTATCAGTTATTTACTTTCTCTTTGAATGAACTATGTCAAGTTCACCCTAATAAATGAATACTGCTAGATAGAAGATAGTTTTTCGTAGCTGTATGATCTCATAGTTTAAATACTATTGTCTAATAGATCTTCTATTCATAATTATTTATTTTTACTCTAAGAATAAGTGTTCTGTATTGCAAATAAACATATAAAATATTTTAATTTAATTCTATGATAAAAATCAAATCAAGAAATATTGTGGATGTAACTATTAAACAAAAAAGGAAAATGTTTTACATAAATTCATAGTACAGCAAAATGATGTTCTTTATTTTTAGGAAAAAGGAAACAAAATAAAAGACAACATGGTAGAGAAATTTCTTAATAGTTCATTCTGTTGAGCAAGCAGTTGATGCAAGTTTGACACAGTCTTAACAAGACCTCAATTAACGATATTGTTCGAGAAAAATTAATTACTATTATCCGTATCCGGTATAGTAGACCAACTGTCTGAAGAATATGCATCTTCATCATCAATCTTTTTGTTCACATGTGACCAATCAGTAGTGTAGATTTGAGTAGAACTATGTTTGTCATCATAATGACCATGATTCTTAGCTTTTTGATGTTGAAGTTGACCTTCCTGGGTATAAAAGTCATGATTACATCCGGGACAATTGAATAAATGAGTTGTATCTTCTTGATGTTGTCGAAGCTGTGCAATTGTGTTAAATTCAGCTTCACATATAGGACAACCTTGAGACACGTTTTTGCGTTTCATTTTCTTACCATTTGTACAATTTGCTGATTCATATTCACGTTGGTTTCTATTACAATGAGAATCGCGAGTAATTGGCATTGTTGTTTGTTTATTGGTGAAAAGTTCCCATGAATAATAAGCATTTACAGTTGCTTTTAATTCTTCTGTAGCTGGTTTATTATGTATAACCATGACTTGAAATCCTGCTTGATGACGAAGATCACTTAATTTTCCAACAAAATCAATATCACCAGAAATTAAGACAATAGTAGCAGGTGGACGATGAACACGTTCAAAACGATCTAATTCTAGCATGATTTGTCGATCAATTGCACCTGGTTTTCGATCAGGTACATGAATAATACGAACAGTTGCATTATGTAAACTTTGTTGATTGTCGTTTGATATCGTATATATATTACAAAAACAAGAGAAAGTAGCTTCTTGTAAACCAGGTTCAGCAACAAGTTTTTTTCGAATACGTTGAATAATATCAAAAGGTTTTTGTTCTTTAGGTATAGGAACATTTTCAATATTCCAAAAGAAACTAACTAAGTTATCTTTCGACGTTAATGGTTTCAATGAATTTGATGTTGTTACTTTTGGTTGTGCCATAATGACAGGATGTCTAAATGAGCATTGGATTTTACGGCATAGATCAGGCCATTTAACGCATTGAGTTAATTGTTTTTTCGCTTTCAGAGAATGACGAAAGTGGCATTGTTCTCCAAATTTACAATGGCCATTCATAAAATATAAACAGTCAGTAAGGGATTTCATTGAATTTGATTGCGTAACATCAAATTTAGTCATTGTCATACTGTATTAAAGCATACAAAAGTATTTAGCAAACAAATGAGTTAATCGTGTAGATATTCTATCTTCTCACTGGTTAGTTGTTTCTGTCACACGACTATTCCTCGAAATCGTTATCTGTCTTTTTTCTTCCACCACATGTTTTGTGGACTCAAAAACAGCTTTCTTGTTTTTTTTTCTTTCATTTTATTCTTATCTGTCAATGCCTGGAGATCTATTACAAAACAAATTTTGTTTATCATATGATGGGGTTGTGACCGTCTCTATTTATTAAAAAACATCTACTATCTATTTCAAAGTACAATGTGCCTCACTGTTTTTTGGATAACTTTTCATAGGAACATTATAAAGACCTGTCATTTTCACAAGTCAAAAGAGAAGACTAAGGGGGCCATCGAAGTGTATCGAAATTTGATTAGTTATCAATTGGTCAATTCGGTGAGAACCTTGTGGAGATGTTCTAAAACGATATTATGAAATCATGTCCCTTTTGATCTATGCAAGATCAACATTCCTAGCTTGTTCCATTCGAGAGTTAAAAGACTTTTCCTCAGATCTATGATCTCAGCCAATCGATCTATGATCATCCGGTAGAAGATCTAGACATGAATAATTCATCATGCGGGGTCAAATGGTGATATTTGTTCTTCGGCTCAAGTTAATCTAATACTGTTATCTCAATATTTCTAAAACTCCACAATCAGTCTCCATATGAGCCAAACAGTAGATTTTTATTGAAAACTAAAGTGTAGAATGAAATAAGAGTTCTCATGATGTTTTCATAAATGAAATACTTATAATCAATATTTGATGTCATTTGTCTATTCAGCGATGTAAAGCACGGAACAATTGCACGCTCTTGTCTACAAGAAAAAATTATTTGAAGATGACTTTTATTGTTAAAATAAAGTTTTTCATTTTCTGGTATATAAAAGAGTCAAAGCAAACAGAAAAAAAAATCATTAAAACAAGAATCCAAGAGACTATTTGTTGTTAAATGAAAATAAACTCTTGTTTTAAAACCCTTTTTTCTACCACATGGTATAAAATAAAAAAGAACATGAAGTCAATTGGTAGAAAACAAGTGATTTAGAAATGGTGTAAAAACAATAATAATGTCAATATTTAGAATTAGAAGCACTGAGTTATTTTTACTGCATACACGAAATCTACTTTGTATGATAGTAGCAATGCCTTGCCTAATTCTTGTCATTAACATTATTTATGTTTTTATCGATAGTTGAGTTCTTGTTCACAGGATATTCACGTACACGAAGATATTTGTGACCCAAGCAGACAAACTTTTTCAAAAACGCGTTTAAACGCATGAAAAAGTGTTTTAAAAATAAAAAAAAGTGGACGTTTTTCGCTCACAATCGCGGTTCCCGACTGTGAGCGAAAAACACCCATTTTTGCCGTTTTTGTGCGTTTACACGCGTTTTCAGCCAAAAAAACGATTGTAGAAGCGTATAAATGCATAAAAAAAGAACATGAAAACTAGTGGTCTTTTTCATAATCGTTAATCGCAATCATGATTACAATGACAGCTTACGATTATGAAAAAGATCACTAGTTTTTATGTTCTTTTTTTATGCGTTTAAACGCGTTTTTGAAAAAGTTTGTCTGCTTGGGTACTGTTAGGCATTGTGAATTTTTGTTCAAATAGCGCAATCAAGCCATGCACCTTCTAGTCATTGTTTGTGTTACATTGAAGTTTGTCTTGATCGGATATATTCTCTGAAGCATCATGTCCTTTTACAATTTGATGCTGCTTTAAACTATGTGATGTAGGAAAGCCATCGTTGCAAAGTGAACAATAGAATAAGTGTTTTTTATCCTTTTGATGTTGACGAAGTGCTTGAATTGTATCAAATTCATTAGTGCATAAAGGACATGCCATTGGATTGTGTTCTTTTTTTGATGTATCATCATGAACAGCTGCTGGTATTTGCTCATATGAACCAAAGATAGTAAGATTTTGTCGATATAAGCGATCACTACAAGATACCTGACGGTTTCGAGCTCGTGGTGCAACTACAGAGTTTAAAATAGTTGGAGGAGTATTAATACCACCATAGAACATAGGCACTTGATTAACAGGCTCATAAACTTGTGGCTTTCGTGATCGACTATAATTCTTTGGATGAGGATTTCGGCTTGCACTTCGAAAACGTTGATACATTAATGGAGGTTTTAAATGAAAAATATCATTTTGATGAGGATTATTTCCATCATGTAAAGTAGATTTTGTTCTTAAACGTGACGGTCTTAGTTTTGGAGTAGGTATTCGATCTACTTCAGTATTATTGTTTAGTTGATCATTTGAAACTATCGGTAAATTTTTTGATAAATTCTCTAGATTTAGTTCCTGTTGTTGTAATGGTTGAGTAAAGAATTCCCATGAATAATGAGCATTTACAGTTGCTTTTAATTCTTCTTTAGCTAGTTTATTATGAATAACAATGACTTCAAATCCTGCTTGATGACGAAGATCATTCAATTTTCCAACAAAATCAATATCACCAGAAATTAAGACCACAGTAGCAGGTGGACGAATAACANTTGGAAACAATTTTCTCTATCCAAATCACTATTTGGATTCTTCATAGGAGTTACCATTAGGGAAAAAAATCGAAATTACACCTGTATGAATAATTTTTGGAGCCACTGTATATATCTAGATCAGTGCAATGCTCTACATAAGACTAATAATTATCATTGCATACCAATTTGATACTCTACTTATCAACCGCACTCGAATAAAGAAGAATCTACATAGCATAATAATCTCATAAACAAATAATTGTCAAAATACGATACAAAAACAAAAGAGTAAAAGCAACAAAACTAATCATTTAATAATAGTACGTAGTCTTATTTTTCAAGATTTAAAATAACATAATTATTCTTACTTGAAATTCAACATTTTCATCATCTTCTTTAACAATATAACCTTCATCATAAATTTGTCCACCAGCTTCAGCATAGAAACATGTTCGATCAAGTACAAGACCACATTCTTCTCCTGAACTAATTGAATCAACAAATTTTTGACCACTACGAATTGCTAAAATAGTTGCTTGAATTGGTGGAAAAACTAAAACAAAAACAAAGTAAATATTCAATCATCTAAAATATATATATTTTTTTTTGTCACCATATTTTCCATGTTCATCACATGTATAATCATATTTTGGTAAATCATCCGTTGGTTTTAAACCTTTTGATTGTTTAAGTTCATCAATAGCATGTACATCAAGTGTACATTGAACTATATATAAGAAACAAATGAAGAATTTCTACTGAGAATAAAAATATTTACCTTGAGCTTGTTCACCACTTGTTTGTTGTGAAGCAATTAGAGATTTTTGTCGTGCTTCTTCAAATAACTTCATATCAAATGTTAAGCCACATTCTTCACACATTAATTGTGTTAAATCAGCTGGAAAACCATATGTATCATACAAACGCCAAACAATATCACCTATTAAAAGTTTAGAAATCAAAATTTGATTTTTTCTGAAATAAAAAAAAAACTTTTCTTTCTTACCAGGAAATGTTTTTGTATCTCCCAATGATGTTATTGTTTTGTTTAGTAAACGATGACCACGTGTTAATGTACGTAAAAATTGTTGTTCTTCATCATTAATAATATCTTTAACTAATTGTGGATCTTTATATAATTCAGGAAAGAATGAACCAAGACTTTCAACAACAACATCAACAAGTGATGCAAGAAAACCAGGTTTAGCTTGTAATTTTTCTGATGAATAACGGATTGCACGACGAAGAATACGTCGAAGAACATAACTAAAACAAAAAATGATTTTGTAAAATATGTCTATTTCATTTTTTTGATTAAAAAGTAATGAACAAAAGCAAATTTATCTATCGAAATAATTCTCAATTTTAAGATTCTTTTGAACTGACATTTGATCTTAAAATATATGGTTTTTTATCAGTGGTAAAATTCACGAGGGAAGTCTTTCAATTGAAAAATTACTTTTGAGTAGAGACAACGTGTCCTTCGCTTATTGCTGCGGAGATACTGGATTTTTATGGTAGTTTTTAAATGGATACTGTGATCTCTCTCAGGAAAAGTGTAAAGAATGATTTTTCGAATTTCGACTCTAACTTTTGTATAGAGACAGTCTTTGATGAGAATAATTTCTTGTGAATGTATCAGATCTTGGTATTGTTCCTATATTAAGATACAGCTATGATAAAAGCATATCTTTTGTGTTGCTTATATATAATGGTAAATTCGATATTCTTCTTCCAGGATAAAAGCAAATCAAAAGGTTTGAAACTTTTACAATAATTTATTACCATTACAGTTTATCTTTGTACAAAGTTTCAAGTGGAAATTTTACGTCAGTCTTTCTGAGGACTAAGACATTCATTTAAAAATTACTGTGACAGTGCAGTATCATAGTAGTGCTAAACCAAAGGTCTGACATCTTTTTAGGATATTTAAAGCTTATTTGTATCTGCATGTAGCACGTAGTCCTGATTCATCAGTTTGGAAGCCATCTCTCATCAGCATTATACCAGAAATATGTTGAACTGTAAGACTTATTCTTCAATATTTGTACTATATGAATTAATCTGTTTCGAAAATTCAATCGAAATGTTTCTGAAATCTATGTCTATGACACAAAATTGAAAAATCAAAATCTATTTAACTATCAATCTCATTTTTACAATGAAACTTAGTCTTTGATATTTATTTTTTTTTTCAATCAGAAACTGGTTGTATATACAAAACGTCTATCTATTAATAGCACTTATATTCTAGCTCTGCATAAAAGAATACTTGTTATTAATATTTCAATTAATATTACAGATGCAATCTGAGCACTGTAGACCTACACTTTCTTTAATATGCCAGTGACCTTCACTCGTCGTTTTTTGCCTTCATTATAAACGACATTATTATTTATGGGTTATGAATATACAAGCAAGAAAAAAAAGCATTCATTTAATTGCGATGTCAGCTGTATCGCTTTTATTTATCATTCATATATATTACGTTTACCACGATCAAAGTACAAGTAGTCGTGACATAAACGATAAAGTATTATGAGAAAAAAAAGTGTACGAATGAATAAAAACAAAAGCAAACATTAATAAACAACAATATCTGACCATTAAATTTCGAAATCTAAAAAATCTATATAATTAACCAAAATTTGCCGCTATGGCTGAGTGACTACATAATTCAACACGTATCTACAACGTACAATCAGCCATGAAATCATTAATGGTTATTTGTCTCAGATCACTCATCCGATCATTTGCCTAGAACTATAGATGGCATTAATGATCAGAAAGATATCAGACGATTGATTATACCACTAGACAGGTGTATTCTATTTATAGTTTTTCGCAAAACTAAAAAGTAATGCTTACCCACGTCCTGTTTTGTCCGGTCGTCCACCATCAGTAATAGCAATTGTTAATGTTCGAATATGATCAGCAATAACTCGATAAGCCATATCCATTTTATCCTGATCTTCAACACCAACTTTACCTGTATATGGTCGTGCACCAGTTCCCTATTGAATAAATGTTTCAATGAAAGAAAAAAAAACGAATTCTTCTTATTTATATAAATATTTTACTTTTTCAATAGCAGCAAATATAGGCATAAATATATCCGTATCATAATTTGAACGTTTATTTTGTATAACTGATGTTAAACGTTCAAATCCCATGCCTGTATCTACATGTTTAGCTGGTAATTCACGTAATGAACCATCTTTTTCTCTGAAAAACAAAAGAAAATTTAAAAATTAAAAATTCTTCAAGGAAAAAAAACCTGTTAAATTGAATAAATACAAGATTCCAAATTTCTAATACATCTGGATCATCATGATTAACAAGATCAGCTGCATTTCGACCACCAATTCGATCAAAATGTATTTCTGTACATGGACCACATGGACCAGTATCACCCATTTCCCAAAAATTATCTTTCATATTACCCGGAAGTATATGATCATCTGGTAAACTATAAAAAATAATTTTACTAAATTGAAAGAAAAGAAAAAATTCAATTAGAATTTACTATTTTTTCCATAGGAGTTGTGTTTCTGTATCCGGTTGAAGATTACTTTTTGCATTACCTTCGAAATATGTTGCATATAAACGACTTGAATCTAATTTAAATACGCCAACAAGTAATTCCCATGCCATATCAACAGCTTTTTCTTTAAAATAATCGCCAAATGACCAATTTCCAAGCATTTCAAAAAATGTATGATGATAAACATCTTTTCCAACATCATCTAAATCATTATGTTTACCACCAGCACGAATACATTTTTGACTATTTGCCGTACGTTTATATTTTCCCATATCACTATTTGGATCGGCTGTACCAAGAAAACATGGTTTAAACTATAAATTAAAATTTTATTAAAAATAAATCAAATAAGAAAAAAAAATATGCAGACTTGATTCATTCCAGCATTAGCAAAAAGTAATGTTGGATCATCAAGTGGAATTGTCGATGATGAATGAACATATAAATGCCCATGTTTTTTTGTAAAAAATTCAATAAATGTTTGACGAATTTCCGATGCAGACATTTTTGTTATGATATTTTGATGAGTATATGTCACAGATATTTATTGAGTTGAACTGAATGATCTATTAATAGAAAAAAAAGCAAATAGGATGATGCAATGCTATGTTATTCGTTGAAATATTATTAATTGTTCTGGAATCTTGTTGCTCTTTTTTTTTATCATGAAATACTTTATATATAATAAACAATCAATAATCAAAAGATAAAATAAATAAAATATTCGAGATATAGAAAATACTGGAATGAACTAACTAGGTCAATCGGTTGGTCGTTGGATAATCATGATGACGAAGCTCATCGAATGAAGAATAAAAAACGAATCGGGTAATTTTTAAAGTAGATGGCGCTATTAACATGTACTTCAGAATAAGATTACGTAATAGGACTCCTCCTCCTATTGCAACACTATAAAATTGTATGATGCAATATACATTCCAAACTAGTGTCGTAACCAAGGATAGGCTAGGCCGGAAGCCACTCTCCCATCCAGAAAGAAAAACATGATAATTAACATCATTGACAATATTTTTTGACTGATTTCCTTCAATATCATAGAGCAATTTTTTATCGCACACGATCTTTTTATTACGCCACAATTTTAAATAAAATAAAAATATAGAATAATTTCCGTACAATTTTTCTCGAAAAATTCTCGAACATTTAAGAATAACTTTTTAAATGGTAATTATAAGATTTCGACCAGAGAATGGGATATATGCAGATTTGTAGAGGAACATATCGTCTATCCAACGGTATATATAGGTGATTGGCATGGCAATTGCATTGTATTGTTTCAATATCCGACAGATATTTGCAATAGGTTTGATTTCCGTTGACTGATTTGAATAATTTTTTGTTTTGGTTTTGATACATTATGTAACCCTCACTATCAGACATAAAGGAACTTTTTATTGTAGATAGTTCTCAAGCTATGGATATAAAAAGGGTCAAAATTCTGCTTTTTTCTCGTTTCCTATCGATTGAAAACAGGAGTTTTTTTTATTATCGTCAGGTCTTACTTTTAATTTAACTTTCATTACAATATGTAAAGGATCCATAAAATGTATAAAGAATGTAAATGACTTCCTGCAACATCACATTTTTCTAGATCAATTTTGATGACATTTAAAAGTGACAGACATTTGTTAATGTTTTGTCTCACGAGGTTGAAAACATTAGCTGAAGACAAACGCCTTTATACAAATGATTGAGCATTCTCTTAAATGATAGAGAAATACAGTCGCTATATCTTAACGAAAACAAAAAAAAAACAGATTTCTTTGTATTCTAATCCTGATCAGAAGCTAGGATATTAAAATAAAAAACTATACTTGTCATGCTTAATGTCCCATGAGATTTCTATTTTTGCAAGTTGTGAAAACTAATCGTCGTTCAACGAACAGCTCGTAATGAAAAGCAGTACGAGAGAAAATTATATATTGATGTAAAAATGTCCCGCGAGATTTTTTTCGTTAATATCTAGACTAAAATTTGAATAAAATCAGTTATTTCACATCAATCAATTTCTCTTTAAAAACACTATCCAATGATAGTGACAATGGAAGAAGGGAAGCCCCTTTTCATAGCTACAAGTTTTGTTTCCTCCAACAAAAATCTTTGCTCAATTATCCGAAATTCGTTTCGCTTGCAGCGAACATAACAATTTTGCTTGTCAAAGTTGTTATAAAGGTACAGCGGCGATGTAACATGTGCTATTGAATTTGTTATACTTTTAGTTTATATCAATTAATTATTATTTCTAGAAAAATGATTCCAAGAACTAAAATGATTTCCCGGAGCTTCTATTTCTCTACTGCTCTCATAGTGGTCGTCGTGGAATTTTTTTCCTAATCTCTACTAACATATAATAACAAAATCAGCCGATCAACATTTTATAACCGCTTTTTGGAGAATCATTCTTGAATGTCCCAGAATTTTTTACGGGTGCTGCACCTCTAAGTGTTTTTTTTTGAATAAAAATAATTATTGCAAGTGCTTTAAGCATATATTTCAATAAACACAGGTTATTCTCTTGCTCAAAGACAAAAATATAATCGACTATCTTAGATGGGCAACGCAAATTACACTTTCTAAGGAAAACAATCAATTTTTTTCAAACGTGTTATTATAAAAAGTATTTCAGTTCCAGTCTTATATTAATCAGTTTATTTTTCGATAGAAATTCAATTATAATAATACCTAAATCCATTTTAAAGTCATGTTCCACATAAACTAAAGATAAGTCAAATAGTTTCTCTTGACATGTGAGTGAACGAGTGCACAGAAGAATAACACCTTGCAACCACACCCTCCAAATGTCAGCATTAATGTTGCATGATAAGTTTCACCTAATATAAGTGTTTGATTGATATTCACGATAGATGTATTTATAGCTGCACTGTTAGATATATTACACTTTTTTTTTTTTGTAATGAAGTTTTTCGTTTTCTTTTTATGAAGTAATAAGACATTTTTACTTTTTTCAAGCATTCAGCTAATAAACTAGAGGTTAATCACAAAATTTTAGAAGGTCAAAAATAACATAAGACAGATGCTTAATAGACATCTTCTTTCTATTGTGGATAATAAAAGAAAAGTCGTCTTTATATGTCTTCAATAATGTGATATTAATTAATCGACCTTCAGCTTCTATAATAAAGACAAATGTCAGATATATATGACAATTGTCTAGCCATATAGAGAGAATCAAACAAATAAAATAGAGAGATATTAGGGAAATAATAACCTCTTATTGCATCCTCTATTTCTTTTTTAGGGGAAGCAATTACACCCTATTACTTCGTTGATGCGTCGCCTATCCAACTAGTAGTGAAAATATTCATTTAACGAGTACGACTTGCTAGCATGATTATTTATTTGAGTTATTTCTTACAGATTTGCTCACAGTATGAATCCTTATGTGATTCGAATCGAATAAGAAAGCTCGCTAATATACCAATGATTAGACGACAGTAGTTTGGTACTTAAACGGTCGTCTATCATCTAATCACTATTCTATTTCAGTATATCGAGATTTATTTTCCAACTTGCAATCAACTGCCGGAATACCAGTAGTAATGCGAACAAACATGTAGCATGAGTACTCAATGTACAATAGTATACAAAACTATTAGATTGAGTTACTATAATTAAATGCAAAATAGAGCAAAGATGTTGTTAATAATGTAACTAATATTCCTTCTATTATTTTCCAATGAATTATTTATGAAAATTCAATGAATAGTGGTTTAAAGAAACGAAATAAAACGATTTATTATTTTCAATTATTCACTTCTTAAGTAAGATTGAATAATTGCTTAAATATATGAACGAAGCCTAGAACGGATTTCATTTCCTAAATTACGATCAAAATACTCTTCTATGTTAAAATACAAAAATGCCAAATAACTTGCGTTATAAATCGATTGTAATTTCATATTATAAAGACATTCATCAATTTAAAAAACACTCTAAATTCGTTTTTGTTTGTAATAATTAATACTAACTGTTTATTTATTATAACTTTTCTCATTTTTCTTGAATGATTTTTTTCATCGATTTCTTTGTACTGATGTTGTACTGTTCACAATATATATTTTCATTTTAGGATTACTGTCTAAAAATAGAACGTTCATTTCAACTCTGTATACAAAACCTACGATGATACATGAATACCTTTAGTTTTCAAAATGATTGTATCTCTTACATTTTCTTGTCTTTTATTGTTAGTTTTATACATAAATAAAACGGACGTCGCGTCATAATGCTAAATAGCATATACGCTTATGAGTAGCTTTAGATAAACCACCGGAATACACAAAAACGACATTTGAATACAGAAGATATTCCTGGCGGCGCTGTCACGATAAGAGTAAGTGGCAACTTTCCTTTTCGAAAGATTGCAAAATTGCATGAATTTACATTCAATTTGAGCGTCTACAAGTTCAACAGTCAGAAATGCTGTGAATCTGATGGATTCAATTAAACTGTGATATATTTATTAATATTTTCTATTATCTTTTTATGTCAATTTTATTATATCTTATGCCTGATAAATTTCTCTCTGTCACATTTTAGTGTTGTAAGCTTAGAAAATAATTTTTTTTCCACTAGTGTTCATGTTGTCTTATTTATTACTTATCATTAGTAAATGGCGAAAAGACGCACTTGAATATCAACATAAGATACACAAGAGCTTTTCTACCGTCTACTTTTTTTTCGAAAATATTCTATTAAAAGAATTGAATCAATAATTCCTTCGATAATAATCAGAACTAAAAATTTGCCTAACAAATAATATCCATAATTTCAGTTATCCCTTTCTTTTATCTCTCAAAAGAAAACAGATTGATGTCATTCTTTTTTCTTCTAAGGTTGGTTTAAGTAAATACTGATTATCGTGATATATAATTTTTTTTTCCACATGACACCAAGCCCAAGGAAATATAAATATTATCCGAAATCAAATACTAGCTTTTTTTTCCTCATTATAGTCATGTTCTTATCAACACAGATACAAGTCTATATAACTTATCATTTACCTTAGACATTTCAGACAAGATAACAAAAGCTTGGTTTTCAAAAAAAAAAATGATTTATTCATGATTTTTTTTACAAAGGTATCAATCAATTCTGAACATGTCTTTTTTTTATGTTTTCTGTTGATCAATAATGAATAATACATAGATGAATATGAAACAAACAACAATAACTGCAGTAGCAAAGCGAGCACATGCTATGCTTATATATATATATTATTTTTTTATTAATATGAAATTTATCTCAGTATCGATTGTTGCTCAGTTGAAGATTTTGTTAAAGGTAATTCATTAATAAACGATTGAATATTGTCAAAATAATCTGGCATTATTGGTAAATCATTATGTTTACCAAATGGATACTCAAATATATGACGTTTTCTAGCTGAACGTGTTTCATTATATAATGTATTTGACATCCATGTAGGAATAATAGGATCAAGTAAACCGGTTAGATAAATACATGGACATTCAATACGCCGTACTTTGGGTAATGAATCAAACAAATAAATAAAGCCAATTGATTTTGTTACACCAATAACACTTTTAGCATATGTTAAAAAATATTTAGCAATTTCAGGTACTGATATAAAAGCATTTTCAAATATAGCTAGTTTAACACGATTTAATGGATCACTAACAAGTTGTATAGCAACAGATGCACCAAGACTTGTACCAAAAACAATTATATTTTCAGGTAAAATTTTTTGTTTATATATTAAATAATCATATGCTGTTTGAGCATCTATGTAAAGACCAAGTTCACTTGGTGAGCCAGTACTTTTACCGAAACCTATTTAAAATATAATCAAAATAATGGTTAGGAATTTTTTACTCATATGATAATTGAGAAAAACTTTTCAAGGTTAGACGTTAGAAATAATAATTACAATTATCTAGGTTTTTGATAGAAATTATTCGAAAGATTCAATGTATGAAAGTAGATTCTTTTGGTTATATATATATTTAGGATATGTGCATATAGACAAGACATATCTTTTGACATGAACTTTTGAATTATAATAGAAATAACGTATTTGTCTTGATGATTTGTTTTCTTGATAAATACTAACCTCGATAATCAATAATTAATAAATTACAATGAAGATTTTCATAAAAGAGTCGTAATACTTCAAGTCGATGCGAAATATTTCCGCCTGCACCATGTAAATATAATAGTGTTGATTTTGAATTAATATCATCTGATTGTTGTATCCAATAAGCATGTATAAATTCTCCATCAAGTGTTTGTAAATAAATTGATTGATAATCCATTTGAAAATCTTCTGGTGTTCTTTCTAATGTATGTGTATTTTCAGGTTCATTATTAGAAAAAATATGTTTACTTTGAAGATTTTCAGTCATCATTCCTATTGTAATAAATAGAATTATTTTATTTTTTTGAAATCTTAACTAAAATCCACTTACCAAATAAACCTTTATCTTTTCGTACACAAGAATAAATATAATCAAGTTGTTTGGTCAATTGACTTTCATTTTCATGATTTTTATTTGTTATTGATATGTCATCATTTGTTAACATATCTGATAAAGGTAATGTACAACGTAAACTACGAATATCAATTATTTCAGCATCAGTTGGTGCCATTGATCTTGGTCTTGTTAATGAGGTATTTTTTCGGCTACTACTACTATTTTTACTACTATTAATTAATGGTGTATTTCGAGTATAATCACGTAAACTACGAGATTTTTTTAATTTCGGATATTGTATTGGTTCATTTGTAGAAGTTGTCGTTGTCGTTACTGATCGAATCGAACTCTTTTGTGGTAAAGTATTTCCCATTATTGATTATGATATATTTCAAAGCATAAAAAATCTGAAAAAAAAAGACATACATATATATATATATATAGATATAGATAGAGAGATATTAGTCATGAACGATCAATCCCGCTCATTTTTTTCGTCTATCATTAAGTTAAATATTCTATGGTTGTCGGTCTAATGCAATTTGCGAGCTATTCTTCTTATATTATCATGTCTGCCGAAACTACTAGTATGTTCTTCATTACTTGATCTTAACGACCAAGCAAACGAAAGAAATGAACGACACACACGAAGAAGAAGAAAAGATTATCCCATATTCTTCCTTGATAAACAAATGCACACATACATCAGTAACTATTAGCTTCTATCAATATATACATGCACTGGTATAATCTGTTATGAGAAAAAGAAAGAAACAGATCATAAAATGTGTGAATTATTCAACTTGACATGAAACAGAATAGAGATGAACCGTATTGATGCATAGTTCTTATTTGTACTTGATGAATAAATATAAGCAACTACTCATCGCAGATTTAGGTACGATAGAATTATTTTTTCTCTCCCTTTTTTTTATCCAAATTGCCATCACATTTTTTCCTCACTGTTTCTTTCTCACTCATCCACAAGTATGTTATTGCATCGAACGCGTCAGTCTGCTACTGTTTTCTTCCTTCGGCTTTTTTTCCTCTTCTTCTCTCCCTTTCTCATTTTTCTTTCCCCTAAAGTCGATATGTTGCCTTATTTGATGGGCTCTTTTTGCTAACGCCATCCAACAAACGAACATAAAAGCGAGTGCTTGTCTTCTATTAGTTAAAGCATCAAGCATACTAAATATGTCTGGTAATACTAATAATAGTTTCCAAAAAGGAAAATTAAAGAAACGTCTCATTAAGGTCCTGCCTTACTAATGTAAATTCGAATTGTATAAAATGAAAATGTATTTAAAAAATGACTTAATAAAACATATGTACCTGTTTTGTCTTGACGTATGTATGTATGTATGTATGTATCTGTGAAATCTGATCTTTAGTCTAAACATTTGATAGTTGATTGATTGGATGAAGTTAATCAGGATATTGATGGCAAAAATCATGAAAAAAAAATGAAAATGAATCCCTACCATGATGGTGAGCACGAAATTTGATTAACGCCATAAAAAATGGAGAGAGAAAAAAAACGAAGAAAGTTGTCGATTCTATTCGTTTTATGAAGACAGTAAAAAAAATACGTAATTCATGTTTGAAAAGGAAGAAACCTTCTTTTGATAGGCATGTAGACCGCAGGACCTTGTTCGATAAAATGAAGACGACGGAGACGCGTACAATTGTTGTTGTGCAATAGAATGACGCTCATTTGCCGTTCGACATAAAAAAAGAGGATCATATACAAGTATAAACGATAAATAATGATGATGAAAACAGCACGCTGACACGTTCTCTCGTTTTTTTTACTCATCATATTGCGACATCAAATTTGGACAAATGTGTTTTGTAAGCTGATGATAGATGTTGAATATATAAAAAGCGATGTGACTCGTCATCTTCAATATATATTCATATAAATCATTTATATACTTGATAAATTTTTCCATTTCGAAGTTTAATACCTTCATTCCAATCTAATTTCATTCGATCAATTATTGTATCGAATTTTTCAGCTACAATTTCATAACGATAAGTACCAGTTATATGCCCATTATCCATTCGGATTTCTCGTATTGAATTACTCATATTAGGACTTGTCTCTTTTATTAGATCAACAATATTCATTGAAAAACGTGCTATTGATCTTTCTTTTCCATTAGCTGTTTGAATAAATGCACTTAAAATTGATATATCTCGATTTGTTTCATAATGTCCAAGAAAATATCTAATAGCTTGACCTTTTGATCTATTAATAAAAGCTTCAGTTATAGCTAAATTTGATACATCATTAAATATCTTTCGTAACGGACATAATGCAAGTATATTTCCATTTTGAGGTATTAATTCTGGTGTATGTTTAATAGCACATGCAAGAATTTGTGCTTCCTGAATATGATCAATATGAAAATTAGTTGGAATATTTTCATTATTTTTTATTTTAAGTTTTATTTTTGTATATGGATCTATATTTTGATAACGTTGAATAATTGCTTGAATATGCATATTATTTGTACGTAAATCATTTTCACGTAAATATGATGTCAGATTAAATATATGATCAATTGATGATGATGATTTATTTTTTTCATTTAATTGTTGTTGTGTAACAAATTTTAAATGATGTTTACTCGAACAATGTTGTGCAAAATTTCGTTGTTGAATTGTTTTACCACATGGACAATTTATTCGTGTACGAAGATTGCTTGTCATAACGTTGTTTTTTTCTTTCATTTAAATTCTACCTACTTTTTTATGTGGATAACGAACACCAACTTATTTGCTAATCTTTGTTTTTTTTTTATGACACACATTTCTACTCTTTTCTTTTTTTAGGTGTTTTTTTTTCGCTCTTTCTCTTACTTTTTTTTTTCTTCTCTTTTCATCGTTTTATTCTCTATCAAATAGATGAATAAGAAATATGTCAATAATCGATAAAACCTATTCAAATGCATCATTCATTCTTTCATTCATTCATATTAATAATTTCTTATTATTTCGTTTCAATCATATTAATGATAAGCAATAAGCTGTTGAATTATAGGTAAATAAGAAATAAAAAAACACATTAAGACATTTTTATTACATTAATAATTCTGATCTTCTTTTTAAATTGCATATAAATCATAGAGAATAGTAATTACAGATATACAGATATTTTCATGTGAATGCTTATAAAGGAAATATATTTCTTCTATTGCTACAATTAAAATATATATGATGACAATATGATTTTATTTTAATGAATAATAGTTTTCTAGTTACCATAATCTTTTCATATATTTTTCATTCACCTTGATTGAACCAAAAACCATGATTGTGGAAAATCATAGTTGAAGTTATTCAAACTTGAAGAGTGTTTTACTCATGGTTTGAATGGAAGACCTTAGTTTTAAATGTCAAGAAATATTATTGTGCTATTATAAAATAAATTCTTATATTTTCATGTCATTAAATTCAAGGACAGAAAAATGTTACAGATGTTTTTTTTTTGTATAAGAGCTACAAGTTTAAACAGTTGAAATATGATTACTATGCATTTCAAAATTGAGAATGAGTCATGGTAACTTGACCGATTGGTGAATATACAAAGATCTTGCAAATTGGTTTTTTTCTAGCTTGTAGTCTGGTTCCGAGTACTTCGTTCTATAACAGAATAGCTTTTTTGATTGGATTTCTAGAAAGTTTTCAAGTGGGACTTGTAGTCTATTTTGAACTATGCACATCCGAGTTTTCTAATTTGTATTTTTCAAGAGTTCGATGCATTTTTCAGAGTTCCAAAGTTTCGAATAGTTGGTCGTAGATTACGAAAAAAATAGGTCTCGATAGTGAGCGATTGATCAACTTGAATTAACCAGCAATGCTTGCATTCAGGTTTAAAATACAAATTTTCAAAATATAGATAGTTAATGTTGTCGAGCTAAACAATGTGATATTTCAAAAGCCTGTGATTAATAATTGTTGTACGTTCTCAAACTGAATACAAGCATCACTATTCGACTTAGTATAATCAATCATTTCTTCTCTCGGGACCAATCATTTCATAATTTAGAGCCTACTAGTCGGAATCATAGATCTCTGAAAAGGCTGTTAGATTCATATGTTTTAGCACTTGAGACTCAGTTTTGAATCTTTGGAAACTTGATGATTTTCTGAAGATCTAATTCAAAATCTTCTCATATTTCAATTAAACAAAAGCTGTTCTGCTATAGGTCGGAGTGCCCCGAACTTGACTGTCAATCCATGAGACGTTGTGCGCAACATTTCTTTGCGTTCATAAGTCATTCCAGTTGACGTGACTCATCTTCTGTGTTGAAATGCACACTAATCATTCATTTTTATTGTTAAGAAATAGTTTGGAGAAGTGAAAGAACCTAATGTATCATATTATATTTTTATTATACTAATGTGTATTTTCTTTTGAGAACAATGTCTGCCATATATGTCTGAAGTCGATAGTAAACATGGTAGATTTAATTAAAACATGACGAAGCGTGAAGAGTCTTTCTTTTACCAGTAATAAATGAAAATTAGATGTTTAATATGGAAACATTCGTTTTTCTAAATGAAATTTTTCTAACATGTGTCAACGCGATGTTTCTTAAATTAAAATGAAAGTAATCTTTTAAATATTCAACGATTCTTGCTATTGTGCGTCAATTTATTTCAATTTTGATTAACTCAATTTATCAATGTCTTAAATAATGACAAGGAAAAAAAAAGGAAAAATTCTCATTAATATTTATTAATAGAAATATGATGAAAGCTCAAAGATCGTTATTCTTCAACGGTCCAAATGACAGAATGAATTAACTCGAAAAATTTGCACAGAACACTTATCGACAGTAAACAGATTAGAATGATATAAATATATACTAGATAAAACACAAATTATTTCACATAGCGCTAAGCCACGTGAATAAACTAATCATTGACGTTTGATTATTAGCATTACATGGTTGAATAAAAAACAAAATAGCTAAATATAATGGAGAACAAACAACTATTTTCGTGTATTGCACGATACGCAACATGCAGAATAATATAATATAATTTAAACATAATAACGTATGTGACAAGAATTAATGAGTCTCTTAGAATTTCTTCAATATCTCTGTCAGCTATTTATTATGTTCGACTGTAAATTTCCCAGACGATGCAGCATGAAATGCTCTACAAAAACAACGGGAAAATGTGCGTTAAAAAAATAAATGCAAAAAGAAAATATATGTTAAGTACTCTGACTAGGTATTACTAATAGCATGTAGATAAAATATGGAAAAACTGGATGACCCATTTTTGTAGAGCTCTTAACAAACCTTTTTCGTGCCCAACAGACATTTCTTATTCTTTTTTCCAAATGTAAGACAGCAGCATATCGTTGTATACACAATGTTTTTGTGTTTGCAAAAAGATTATTATTACTCTTTTGATGCGTAATTCTTAGTTGAGAAAGGCGTAATTTCAAGTATAAAAGTTTTCTGTTTTTGCGCTTAACCAGATATTAAACCAACAAAGGAAAATATGGCTAACGTAAATTTTGTATCCAAAGAATAGACTTCTTAATAATGATTATCAGTATGCTCTTATTCTTCGTATACTTCATTAATTCAAACACATTTCATTACGTCTGAAATTATGCTATGAAGCATTTTAACAATTGTTAATTAGCTGAAAGAAACAGAAAAAATATGTTTGCAAATTCGTGTTTAAAAGTTGTTAGTAATATATTGTCACAGTAATTTCTTGTAGAAAATTTTATGCTGGATCTTTTTCAAAAAAGTTCATTTCGAAACAATAAGAAATAGCAAAGATATTGAGAGGTTCATTTATTCTATTGCACACGTTAGTTTCAAAGATATTTGTACTTTTCATATTACATCCTGTAACATAAAATACATTTCTATATGATACAGATTGATAGTTCATTAGATGATTGAAAATTGAAAGATTAATTCAGTAATATAAATAATAACAAATTGCAAATTGGCTTCTTATCTATTCTGATCTTGAAATGATGATGAAAATTTTCTCGAGCATTGCCAAATACAATAGTTATTTTACAAGTGGGAACATCTATATTGATAAATGATCGATAAAATTTTTGCCATTCCGTTATTGTTTGTTAGCTTTAAGTTTTAAAACTGTTAATAAGATCAAAATTCCAATGAGATTTCTTCGTAAAAACAAAACAAAAACTAACGGTATAAACGACAAATGTTCGTCGAAAACAAATATTTCAAAATATCTTCCTATCAAATTGTAAACACATATATAAATATACAAGGTGATCCAAAAGTCACCTACTAAAAAAGAATTGTATATCTCGCTTATAATTCGATTGAATAATCAGGTTTTTGTACTGGCGGTAGAAGATACTGTCCAAGTTTCTATTGATAAGCACCAGGTTCTTTAATACTCTTCTATAGTACCATTTTCAATTTACATACACGAAAAAGAACTTTTTCAAGTTTCAGGAAACAATCTATAGGGTTTTTTCTTGCAATTTTTTCAATTTAGTTTCATGAATATGGGCTTTCTATTAATCAAATTTTTTTCTCTTGCTGTCTAAACATTTACTTGACACTTGAAAAAATTAGACACATTTGATATTAAATTCGGTGACCGTAAAAACTTAAAAACTGCATCAGTTTACTCTGTGCGCCTTTCATACCAATTCTTGATAAGGAAAGTAGAAATCGTTTTGAACAATTGTACCAAATACTGCAGTTTTTTTTCAGAAGTGTCAAGAAAATGTTTAGAAAGTAAGAGATAGAGACTTGGATGATGGAATGTCCACATTAATGAAAAAAGAATCGAAGATATTGCAAGGAAAAATCCTACATATTATTTTCTGAAATTCGACAAAGAACTTTTTCGTGTATGCAGCATGAAAATGTTATTATGTAGGAGTATTTACGAACTTTGTCTTTATAAACAAAAACTTGAAAGTGTTTCCACTACCAGTACAATACAATAACCAGCTCATTCAATAGAATCATAAGCAATATACACAATTTTCTTTTTTTTTGTGTAGAAGACTTTTAGGACATCTTTTATATGTGAGCAATCATTTCATATGAGATACATATGAATAACAGAAAAACAAAATATTGCAATCGGTTTACGCTGCATTACCAAAACAAAAAAAAAGATAAAATTTTGTCATTACACTACTAGAATATTTACTAATAGTCTTTTTATGACTAAGCTTAATTTCTTCCTTTTTTTGAGAATCAATTAATTTACTGCTTCAGGATCTTTTTCATCAAGACATACAGTACGAATAATAATATCTGTAACAGCATATGGATCACAATTCGATGCTGGACGACGATCTTCTAAATAACCACATTTGTCTTCGCCAACTTGACGAGGTATTCGAATTGATGCACCACAATTTGCCATACCAGCTTTAAATTGATTGATCTGAATAATACAATTATTTTGATAGAGACATATATATGTAATGAGAGAATGTACTCAATTGTCGGATACGGTTCGAGTTCAGATTATCGCTACGAGTAGGTCTCGATGAGAGTATGACAAGCTTAAAAGGATTCGGACTTACGGGTTGTTTTAATGAAATTGTTTCTGATGTGAGAACATATCCAAGTGTGAAATCGCTTTTGAGTTAAGACTATATGTATCATGTAGATCCTCATAAGCTATGAGTGCTCTGAAAACAATTCGGGCTATCGGTTTATTGCTGTGAAGGTATTGCATGTTAACGGTATTGTTTAGTACAATGGCGTGGTACCCTCAGGCACAGCAAGACAATTGAGTTTCGAATTTCGACTTGAAACTTTGCATAGAAATAGTCCTTAATACGAATAGCCTATTGTGAAAATTTCAGATGATTTTGTTTTTCCTATCCTAAGACACGACTATGGTGAAAGTGTGTTTTTCATTTCGCCTATACAATCCGATAGATTACGATTATCTTACTTCAGAATAGAAGCAATAAAAAACGAATCTGAAATTTTCATATCAAACTATTCTCGTTAAGGCCTGCCTCTGCGCAAAATTTCAAATCGAATTTTGTACCTCAGCTTTCTTGGTATTGCTGAAGGGGACCACAGTATTGTACTAAGAAAATGTTTTTAGAATGCAATACGTCGACAAATATAAATCATTAACCCGAACTTTTTTCAAGGTATTCATATCTCAATAGGATCTACATGATGTACGCAGCCTCAACTCAAAAGCAATTTGATACTTATAAATATTTCCTTATTAAGAACAATTTCATTAAAACAGCCAATGGATCCAAATTGTTTTAAACTTGACTTAGTCACATTGAAATCTACTTTTAGTCACAGTATGAAGTCGAACAGCATCCGACAGTTGAAAATATTTCCTGCTAAGATAGATTTTCTTCATTTAAACATAAATTTGCTGTTTCATGTCGTCCAGTCAATCGTCGTTCATTATCTCTTCCATAACATTTTATGCGTGTCTAGAGACGCATTTCAAGTACTTGTATGGCTTTATGAATAGCTCTACAATGAAAGATTCTCTTGAGCAAGATGCAATGCAGAAATGTTTGCAAGTATGCCAAACGCTGTTAGACTATGTTGTCGTCTATTCATTCAATTAATTTCTTTTTGTTAAAAAGAGCAATATGCGGACTACAAAAATTCGTACCGAAGACATTTTTTCTGCGACGAATTTAGAAGGAAAGAAAAGTCGAAAATCAAAGACATCCAAAAATCGTTCTAGCGATTTCATCATGCAGCAACATTATTATTGTCTTTTTTTATAAAGTTCAATAATGAGTTTCTTAGCATAAATGATGTTCTTTGTTTTTATATCAAATTATAGTTTTTTTTTGAAAGACTAGGAAATTTGGTCGTTCCCACTATCTAATCGTTTTGGTAGGATAAAAACTATTTGTTTTGATGATTTTTTCTGTCTACTTTCTAAGATATCACATATTTCAAATAAATAATGTACAAAATAAATAGAGCTCAGGCATGGTTCCTGAAGTTAGTAACTAATACTCTTGCACATTGATAGGTCTGACAAAATGTCTTTTATACGAAAATTTCATTTTTTTCAATCTTCTTTTTACTAATGCGCTAAGAGCGCATGTGAAATTCGTATCAAAATTGATGTCAACAGCACTTTTGATATACTACATTTTTATGAATTATTTGTTGAAACTCGATATCCATGTTTTGACGTTTTTCTTCTTTCTAGATTCGTCTTAGAAAAAAATATAATTTAGGCATTACTGTTTTCAACAGAAGAAAACTATTGGTAGAATTAAAAGTCATTAACATGGCATAATAGTGTTTAAAATGTTTGCAAAAAGTTTTTATATCGCATATTAACTCACTCGATGCCATTAGGTGCACGCATAGCTGCAATTGAAAAACTAGTATGACATCCAGCACCATTTCAATCACCTGGAATTAGTTTTGGATTAAAACTAACTTGTACACCAAATTCTTCAGCAATACGTAATAATACATAACGTGTATCCAAAGTTGATCACCAGCATTAGTACCTTCATATGGACCAACTTGATATTCCCATTGAGCAGGCCTTACTTTAGCATTAGTACCACAAATACTAATACCAGAATATAAACATGCTTTATAATGTGCTTCAACAACATCACGACCGAGTGCTTGAGTTGCACCAACACCACAATAATATGGACCTAAAAATGATAGAAAAAAGTCATCTATTGCATGTGTATGTTGTTTGTTTTTCTTTTTACTAACCTTGTGGATGTAGAAATCCATCTTTTGACCATCCAAATGGCCATCGATCACGATCTAAAAGTGTATATTCTTGTTCAAGACCAAACCATGGATGTTGATCATGTGCAGCTTTTATTGCTTCAACACATCTGAGTCATTTGTTCGCAGCTTGACAAAAAAAAACAATATGATAAGATCATATGAAAATGTTTTATTTCTTACCAGTTGGTTCGGTATTGAACTTATATGTTTCACACATGATTAATTTATTTCGACTAAGCATAAATGGATCTTTTTAGATAGCTATTGGTTTAAGATAGGTATCTGAATTTGAACCTTCAGATTGTCCAGTTGATAAATCATCAAAATTCCACCACGGTATTTCTTCTGGTGATTTTGGTTCGTGATCAAGTGTACGAGTTTTAACTAAACAATAAAAAGAAAGATACCAATTAAAAGAAGGTCATGTTAACCTACAATAATATATTATCTCGAAGATTCTCTCCACTACCATCAATCCAAATGTAAGTAGTCATGACCTTATTGTCCGGCTGTGGTAATGCCAAATATCGAGAAAGAATAGCTTTGTTCCTAGTTGTGGCATGGTTTCCTTTCATTTCCATTGCTTCGATTTTACGAATATGTTATTTCAATCTGACAACGAGAAAATCTAATTCTAATCACTGTATTGAATAGTATTTTTATAGTTAGAATTCATGTAGGGTACTTTTTTATTTTTCTTATACATGGTTTGATAGAGCTTGACCTGTTGATCAAGAAAAAAAAATGCTTTTACCATTTCTGAATCGTTTTTTTAGGAAAACAAACAATTGTTTTTAATTTTTGCGAAATTTATTAATTTGAGTCTAATTCTGATATTCTGTTGATATTGGTGAAATAAATTGGTCATATTCGTATGTTTCTGCATTCCTATCTAGTTCTTTTGTACAACCGATGAGGTCAAATGTTTTATTTCGTTTAACTCATCGCATCACCAGTCATAAAAGTATGCATCAGTTTTTTTTTCTTTGCCGCGAGAAATCACTTTTGCTAAATTGTAAGGAAAATGTCTAGAATTCTGCCTATATTTTTTAATTTTCTTCGTCAAAACCAGATCGGTTCTTGCAATAAGATTATGATATTCGGAATCAGCGTAAAAAACTGGGTTAACTGTTATAAACTCTTATCGTTTCCGTTAACTTCAGTCGCTTTGGGGTTTCACAGTAGCTGATATTTTCAGGAAAAAATGAAAAATTCATAAATCAGTCCAGTTTTTTACACTGATTCTGAATATTATTATTTTATTTCAAGAAAGCATAGTTTCGATAAAGAAAATTGAAAAATACGTGCATAATTCTCGCTCGTTTCCCAGAATATAGCAAAAATACTTTTTCTCGACAAAAAAAACCACAAGCGACAGTGCATACTTTTATGATATGTGGTACAATGAATTAAATGAGATAGAATATTTGGCTTCATTATTTACACAGAAAAACAAGACAGACTTACAAAAACGTACATATATGACCTATTTGGAGGATCACCATCAATACAGTTTTACAATTAGATTCGATTTAATATATCTCGCAAACATTAAAAACAATCTTTTTTTTTTTGCAAAAAACAACTCATTCTTGTTTTGATTTTTTCGACCTTGAAAAAGCGATTTACAAACAACAGAAACAAATTTTTATTGATCAGTATTTCAATCTTTATCGAGCCATGTATAAGACAAAAGTAATTTACTTGAGTTTAGCCTTGCGGGCACCCTAATAAGAAAACAGTACTATGAGAATATGAATTCGTGCTGCTTTCTCATATCTTATCCTTATATATTTCTCTAGGCCTATCGTTGTTATCAATAGATAATAATATTATCTATTATTGATTTGTTTTTTACTTTTTCTATCTAGTGTTTGTACTTTGCGTATGTGTTTTCTGTCCCTAACTAACGTCAATGTATTTTGGTAATAAAATCAAAAAATCAAAAATCAAAAGCGAAAATAGCATTAAAAATGCTATAATGATATTTTAAAAGTGATCAAAGTAACAAAATTAATCAGTGTTAAACACTTTCTCATGATAAATTGTGAACTGACCTCGAATGAAAATATCAAACACTTGATAGCATCAAGTGCAAAAGAATTTTCTCTTAGTACGAAGAAAAACAACAAGGACATGGTAACATGAAAAATAGCAACAACTACAGATTTTATCAATGACAGTTATATTATAATTAAGATACTATGGGAGATAAGCATCAAGACCTTGCAACACTATGTAACTTGTTTACGAGTCAATCAGGTAGAATCATTGTGACCTAAAGTTTATGGCCGCAAAAAAGAAAATAGTTAACCAATTGAATTATTTCTGATTAATAATATAAACTAGTTTTCCTATGTTTCATCACTGCAATCGATTTTTATAGCTCATGAGAAGTCTTGTATGTGAGACAACAGATATAAGAACTCAATAGAATTGTTGCACTACACAAGATCCTACCTACACATACATGATAATTTGGGAGAAAAAAAGCAGAATTTTCTTTGTGTAATATTGTGTCAAACAATCAAGCTAATAACTTCATCCATCTTTATCACTGTGAAAATCAGTAGAAAAGCAAAACACAAAGATAGTAATATTTCTAATGACTATCAGTCTCATTTATCAAATAAAAAAGAAATATTAATAATATAGACAAACAAAAAGCTGCTAATATGAATATTCTGAAATTGTATCGCATACTTCTATAGATGACTATTTGAACAAAATCAATAATTCAATGTCAAAACAAAATAAAGCAAGAGTAAAGCACTAATAGTAATAGAAAAAAGTCTTTACTCAAGGCTGTAGTATCGCTTGATAAATGTATACAATACAAGAAAAATCACCAGTGTAGACATATTAGCTCATTAATTTTCTGGTTTACAATGATTGTATGTGAACACATTACTGTTATGGTTGAGAATCTTTTTTCTATAAGACATACATTACCCACCATAGTCAGATTTGGATTTAAATTTTGAAAAATTGACTTATGTTGCATACTGATATGCACAATAATATTCGTTACACTGTATGAATCCATAAATAGATTCTGAATCATGGTCTCACACAAAGCAACATTTATCATCGGCAAATTTATGAGAAATTCGAATTGATGCACTACCGTTAAGAATGACAACACAGTATGGTTTAATGTGAGCACCAGAATAAAATGGGAGTGGATGTAAGCTCAACGACGAGTTAATAGTAATATCTAGAGACCTGTGATTTTCAGCAATCATAAAAAGAAAATTTCAGACGTGCTTTTGTCTGGTGCCATGTAAAGCAATATTATTTTAAAGTTCATCGTCTTCACAAAACATTGAAAAAAATGCATGAAAATTTCATGCATTTTTTCAATGTTTTGTGAAGACAATGTATTATAAAATAATTTAGTCTCATATAGTATCAGAAAAAAGGCGTCCTAAATTCTCCTTTTTTAATTGCTGAAAACTTCAAATTCCTAACTGCTGCTGTTTTCAACTATTTGAGACTACACCCCTCCTCTTTAATGCTGATGCGCACATTAGTTGATTCTGTGCCGAATTTATATATTTCACACATGATCAGTTTATTGCAATCAAGCAAAGATAGATCTTTGTAAAGGAAGTCTCCCATTTTCCCCCCGCTAGTTTTTTTTTTCTTTTAAATATTTTTTAGTTGGGACTCATGTGAGGATATTAGATCAATCAATCAAATCTTGGACATTTCTAGTTTTGGCGCAAAAAACAACTAGCGCGGGG